CCTCCTCTGCCCCAGAGCTCATCACACTGATCATACCCACCTGTTTCTTTCTCTGTCTCCCCATCTGTGAGGGCCATGAGGGTAAAAACATCTTTCCCCCCATAATATACATTTCCAGCATTTAGGACAAGGCCTAGCGCAGAGTATAAACCCAACACAGGCATTAAACTTCATTCATTCATCATTCACTTAATTTATGCATTTATGCATTCAATCCACAACTTTGTGGAGATCCTAGGGTAGGAAGAAGAAAATAATTTTTGCTCAATTCTAGCCTTATTTCAGCAGGAGTTCCAACTTCCTCTGCAGCCCTTATGGTCACAGAAACACAGCCACAAATGAGTAAGCAGTGACTCTGTCCCTTCCTTGGGCTGGCCCTACCTCTGCCCTCAAGTCACAGTTTCCACCACTGCATGATCCTTGAGAATCCTCTCACCACTCCAACACCCTTTCTGAGCACTGTCCAAACCCAGCATACCCATTCTTTAGCAGTTCTATCTGCCTATTCCCAGAAAGTTCATAGGTGCAGCCACCACAGTGACCATCCCAGGAGTCACTAAACAACCAGGCCTCCATTTGGCTGCTGACTCACACCCCCTAGAGTTGCAAACTAGCAACCTACAACTTGCAGACTGATGTGAAACTCAGATAGGTCTTGTGGGGTCTGTACAGCGCTTTTAAAGAAACAGAATTTGTTGCTAGTGTTTAGAAATTGGGATATTTTACATCAGTATCTTGTTTCCCATTTCCCTTGAACGGGCTCCATTGAGACAACATTTTTTTTCCCACCCAAACTCCAAAAATAACCAGCAAGTGGAGTAGGGGCTATTCTCTTTCAAGGAGTTCAAGGCAATGGCTACCAAAGGCCAATAATATCACAAAAAGAGAGGCACTCAGGTGTTGCATTTGGTAGAAATATTCAATACCACCCATGGAGTATTCTTCCAAAACAAAACACAAAACCCTCAAATGTGAATCTGATCAAGACTCTAGAACTAACTACCAATTTATAGGACATCCAGAGGAGAGGAACATGTGATGACAGGAAGAAAGTCTGGAAAGTCCAGACCACAGAAAACCCTGGACAAATAACATGACTCTTTAGTTTTAAAAAAACACTGCAAGCAAAAAAATAGAGAGATGGAGGGGGAAATGTGTAGATCAAAAGAAACTTTAAGAGACAGTTCAACCATGTACCTATTTGGATACCGATTCACATAATCTAACCCCTTTAAAAATGTAAATGTTGACTGCCTATTTGATGATATTAAGGAATTATTGTTAAAGTTTTGTAAGCACAATAATGGCATTGTGATTTTTTAAAGAGTTTTATCTTTTACAAATGCATATATAAACATTTACAGACAAAAGGATTTGCTTCCAAATAACCTAGGCTGAGGTCCAGGAGTGGGTGAAGGTACATATGTAGAAAGATTAGCAATGTTATTGGTGATGTTGAAACTGGGTCAAGGGTAAATCAGCCTCATGAGTCTATTCTCCTTACTTCGTATATGTTTGAAAACATCTATAATAAGTTTTTCTAAAGGGTATGGTGTAGAGCCCTAGCTCATCTGAACCCTATGTTCCCTGCAAAGTTTCTACAGTTTGGGGTCTGGGTCTAATGTCTGCTGCCTGGTGAGGGTGAGAGTCTTTCCAGGTCTTTACTTAGACTCCCATCCAGAGAACCCCAGACTTGTGACTACAGCCTGTTAACTCTGCCCTTTACTCTTTCTGTACCTCTCTACATGACATTAGCAAATGTGAAGATTCAACTTATTTAAATGAGACACATTTAATGATCAAGCCTTGGAATCCTAATATCTATGCTCTTCCCTACCCTGCTCCTCTCCCCACCCCAAAGTATATAATTTATTTTTCCTTTGTTTTCTTTTTTTTTTTTTGAGTTGGAGTCTCACTCTGTCGCCCAGACTGGAGTGCAGTGGCCGCTCCCGGCCACCGCAACCTCAACCTGCTGGGCTCCGGCGATCCTTCCGCCTCAGCCTTCCGAGTAGCCGGAATTACAGGCATGCGCTACCATGCCCGGCTAATTTTTTTATTTATTGTAGACATGAGGTCTCGCCTGCCCAGGCGGGTCGAACCCGCGGCCTCTGGCAATCCACTCACCTCAGCCTCCCAAAGGCGCGGGATTACAGGCTGAGTCACCAAGCCCAACTCTTCCTTTGTTTTCTAACTTTTAGTCAACATCCTATTCCTAACAGAAACACATCATTGCAATGGCCAGTGTGGGCTCTGCACAGGACATGTGGATCATAAGCACACAAATCCCCAGTCTTTCCAACAGACCTCTGTGGGTAACTGCTGGCTGCTCCCTCCAGACCTGGCCTGTTAAAACAGGGCAGACTGTCCCAAGTGCACCTCAGTGCATCATGCTGTACACATTGGTGGCAATGTGACACAGGATCAGGAACTCAGGTCTAGACTCAGACCTGGTTTAGATATCAGTTCTATTGTGTCTGTGACCCCGAGAAAGCTACTAAACCTCTCTGGGTCTCTTTTTTGTTATCTGTAGTATGAGCATAATAATAGTATTTCCCTCACTGCATTATTGTGAGGATTAAATCCAAAAATGCTGAACACAGGGCTAATTAGTTAGTAAGTATCCAATAAACAAACTAGTCTACATATCAACCATAATGGAATGCATAATGGATACATCCATCCATCAAGGCATGCCTGGAGGACAGATCCACCAGACTGTCAAACACTCTTGAATGAGAAAGCCCAGAACTGAGGACATGAGCGCTCTGCCACTCACATCAGGTGGCCCTAGCCTCTGTATGGAAGACCTAACCTCTGCCCTCATGCCCTCCCAGTGCCCATGTCACACTCCATTAGGTACCTGTGTCCTCCGGGGAGCCATAGGAGGGGCTGCCCTGGGATAAGGTAGCCCAGCTTGAGTCCTCGTCACTGGCTGCACTGTTCCGCATGCCAAACAGAAGGCTGGCACTCTTGCTGTGTTCCCGGGGGCCGTCTGTAAGGGCCTGGGGCCCTGGGGGGGCCTCCACACTTTCCAGGGGCTCGGGCAGCCCTTGGGGAGAAGACAAGTCCTCCTCCTCCTCCTCCTCATCTTCTTCTTCCTCATCATCCTCCTCAGCCTCCCCTGCCGCCTTCTCCTCTCCCTCATCTGGCCCCTGCTCTTGAGTGCTGATGATTAGGCCAGATCCTCGAAGCCCTCGGTTGGCTGCATTGTGGGCTGAGAGCTCCAGCTCAGAGTACAGGTGTATCAGGCCCTTGGGACCCAATGGTGCCATCTCGGGCTCCTGGCTGGCCTCTTCTGCCAAGGTCAAGGTCACGTTGCGATTCTGGTCACGATGGGCTGTGGCGGCCCGACGAAGCTGGTTCTGGCCCTCCTTCAGCCACTTGGCATTGGCGGGGCCTGGCTCAGGCCCACCACCCTCCCCCATGGCACTGCGCAGGTCCTTGGGTCCCACAGCTGTGGCCTGCAGCTTGGCGTTGAGCAGCTGGTTGTGGGCAGCGTGCAAGGGCAGGGGCAGGCTCAGTGCAGGGCCTCCGTGGCTGTTGGCGTTAATGGCCGACTGGCTCAGTGACGATGGAACAGACATGGCCTTGGTAGATCCTGTGGGGTAGGGAGGGGAGATGCTGTTGAGCTTCTGGGCCAGGAGAGCAGCATCCTTGCTTTATCCCCAGGACTATGCCCTGTGCCTCCTCATCTCCCATACTCAGCAGGCCAGCACACATGGCTCCGTGTCCCAAGAGGACAACAGGGTTCAACTTCTATTCCGGCACCATCATCTCCATCACAGGCCAGGTCCACCCCATCCTCAAATCTCTAGCTCTGAGCTTTCTGTGATGGCACAGCCGGCACCCGTTTTGCCCCCGCTCCCACCAGCAAAGGCTCCATACAATGGCTCTCTGTGCATCCCAGCCCCCTAGCTCATCCACCCGGGGCTTACTGTGCCAGGGACACTCCTAGCACAGTGGCTCATGTGGTCACTGGACACTGACTGTCCTTTTCCTCCTGCCACACTGCCATCTCAAGCCCCGCTACTGTGAGCTCCTTGGTGTGTGTTCCTATCACCATAACTCACTGAGCTCAACCAACCCCCAAACCTACCCCACACTAGGGACTGTGAGGATCAGAGACAATGAGCTAGAACCAGTCCCCTGGGGCATGGCACTGGAAAGGCAGGTCACTGAGTTTAGGGCCCTCAGCTCCAAGTCATGGCTCCTTCCATCAACTGAAGCTGCATTTTGGTGACATTTCCAAGAAATATCTCCCCTCCAGGCACCAGGCCTCCCGCCAGTCCTTAAAATGCCCCATCCTGGGTCACCACAGGAGACTTTGGTGTGGGTTCTCCAGTCCTTCAAGTTATTACGCAAATGTTACCTACTCAGTGAGTCTTCCCTGAATACCCATTTTAAAACTGCATGCTACCATGGCCCCTCATCAGCAACCTCCAAACTCTTCCCTAGCACCTATCACCATCTGATAAGCTCATTTAACATTTACATTGTCTAATGATTGGCTCCTTATGACTATAATTTTTTTAGTAGGAGTCTTGCTCTGTCAACCAGGCTAGAGTGTAGTGGCACACTCACAGCCACTGCAGCCTCTATCTGTTGGGCTCAGGAGATCCTTCCACCTCAGCCTTCCAAGTAGATGGAGCTACAGACATGCACCACCATGCTCAGCTAATTTTTTTGATTTGTTGTAGAGGCGAGATCTCACCCAGTTGCCCAGACTGGTCTTGAACCTCTGGGCTCAGGCAATCCCCTCAGCTCCACTTCCCAAAGTGGTGGGATTACAAGCATGAGCCACTGCGCCCGGCATGACTATAATTTATAATTTCCATGTTGGTAAGGATTTTGTCTTTTTTTTGTTGGTTTTTTTTTTTTTGGAATCCCACTCTGTTGCCCAGGCTGGAGTGCAGTAGCATGCTCACGGCCACTGCAGCCTTGACCTGCTAGGCTCAGGTGATTCCACTTTAGCCTTCTGAGTAGCTGGAACCACAGGCATGTGCCACCATGTCCAGCCAATTTTTTTTATTTATTGTAGAGATGAGGTCTTGCCATGTTGCTCAGACTGGTCTTGAACCCCTGAGCTCAAGTAATCCTCTCGCCTCCACCTCTCAAAGTGCTGGGAGTAGAGGTGTGAGCCACCACGCCCAGCTGCTTTGGCCTTTTTTAAAAATACAGCATGCCTAGTACCTAGCATAGTCCTGGCACAGAGCAGGAATCCCATAAATATTTGTTGAATAAAGACATGAATCTGCCCTTCCCCCCATTTCCTGCAGGTCCCACTTTGGCATCTCCTCGCCCAGTCTAGTTAGGAAGCACTTTGGTTACGCTACTGTGCTTCAACCGAATTCTACCTGCCCTTCAAGTAAGAGGATCTCCTGCTCCACAACTGGGCTTCCTCCTCACAAGCCCTTCATGGGTCAACTTCTCCACAACATGAGTCCTACACATCCTTCTAGCCCACTGCCCCATGGGATCCACCCTTAGGCCTCTTCCAACCTCCCCACTCTCCCTGGTCTTCCCTGTTTTGTTACTGTCCTTCCCTGACCCCATGATAAAATATCCCTCCCTGGACCCCACTGTTCATCCCACAGTTCTTTCTCCCTGACCAACCACTACCCACTTCTCTCTTATCCTGAGCCCTCCTTGTGAGTCCTCCCTCTGACAGCCCATACTACTCTCTCCTCCCCTGAAGTCCTCAGGGTTCTCTCCTCCTACTGGAACCTTCTCCCAGCATGCAATTCTCCCTCACTGACCACCCTAACAAACACCACAGTGCTTCCTTTCTGACTCCCACAGTACGATTCTTTCTCCTCGCTATCTGAGAGTTCCCTATCTCCCTATTCCCTCACTAAGGAGCTCTTTCTTACCCTAACCACCCACTGCCCCAGTTCTCTCTGCATCCAGCACCGTGTTGCAGGCTGCCTTAGCAAGGCTCTCCCATCTCTCCAGGTGGCATGTGTGGCCCTGAGGCAGGAGCCACAGCTCGCCTTTCTATCATTTCTAGTTCCTCAGACCCTAGCACGATGCTATGCATACATCTGTAAAAAGAAGGGGAAAAAAGGGGTCTGTCCATGTGTCTGCCTCACGTGTAACTGTTGGTCTGCTCAGTGTGGCTCCACCTGGCCAGTGAGAAAATTCATGGTCACTGGAATACATGAAGAAAAAAATAGACAGCTCTGCCTTCACCCAGAACCACAGTAATCTTCCAAAAATGGAAACCAGATTGTGTCACTCCCTGCTTCAGAAAATTAGAGGGTTCACCACTGCCTTTAGGATAACATCTGAGCTCATTAGCAGGGCATCCAAGAGTCCCTTGAGGCAACCCCTATGACCTCTCAGTCCTCCTCCCCCTTCTTGCCTCCTTCATACCTTCTACCCAGGCACATGAAGTGTGGCGGGTTCTGGAACACATCATACACTCTTACAGCCCAGGGTCTTTGTGTACACTGCTCCCTCGGCCTGGAATCCTGTCTCTCCTTGTTAGAATCTCTGCTTATATTTCAAAACAAGCTCAGCGGTCATAGCTCCTAAGCAGTCTTTTCTGTTCTCCCCTCACCCTCACGCGACTATTCCCTCCTTTGTGTCTCACAACACCACATTTTATCTGAGTGTCTGAGGTCATGTCTTACTCAATTTTGCATACCCATGACCAAGGAGAGCTTGCTGTGTGCCTGCCACAGAGTGGGCTGTTGTGTGGAAAGAAAGGAAAGATGGAGGGGACAGACATAGGGGTGGGAGGAACTAGGAACTAGGACGTTCAGAAATGGCTGGGAATAGAAACCAAAAAAGGCTGAATGACTCCATTGACTGGGGAGGAACAAAGGGACTGTTCAGGAGGGCACCAGAGAATGCCAAAGGGTCCCTGAAAAGGATGTAAGTTGGAACGAGAGTCCTGGACAGGTGAAGGCTGAGATCTAGGAAGAAGGGAAGTAGTTAGCTGAAACCAATGTCCTGGCTCGGAGACTGTTCAACAGTGGCATCTCCATGGCTTTCAAGAGATGGAGGACCCCATGACTCTGCCAAGTTTAAGTGACCTTAGGGATGGAGAGCCCTCCTCTGAAGCCAGGTTCCTCAAAGGTCAGGCTGGGATCAATCTTTTTGGCCCTAGGAGGTATGCTCTGAGAAGGCTGTATGCACCATAAGGTAGGGACAGTGAAGAGCCAGGCTGACTTCAGGGCAGTCCGGCCAATCTGGTCACCAGGGCAGAAAGTACTGGAGGAGGAATGGGGAATTCTGTTGTACCTGCTGAAGCTGAGCATCTAGCCCAAGGCAGTGTGGTCATCATCCCCTCACTTTTTGAGGTCAAAAAGATGACCAGCGGCCAAGTTTTTTCAAGAAGGAGCACAACCCAACCTCTCCCTGTCTTTGGGGTTGTAAATACCTGGAACATCTCAAAGAATGCAAAGAACCAAGTGGGTTCTGGCTCAAGGCAGGGAGCTGGGCAGAGCCCTCAGAGCAGTAAATAAAAGAAGTAGCCACTAAGTCTGAAGAAGCTAGCATGAGACCACAAGGGTAAGGGGTGAGTCTTGCTCGAAGTCAAGGGTCTTCTCATCTGACAGTTTACTACATGCCAGACACTGTTTTAGGCACAGGGGAGAGGGATAAATAATAAAGACATTATTCTTCCTCTGGAGGAGTTCTCAGTCTAGGTAGAAACAGCCACTGAATAAGTCATTAAAATGCAGTGTAATGCCAATGTCTAGAACAGTGCTTAGCACCCATAAGCACTCCTATTTGTTGAATAAATTACTGAGTATTATGAAGGGGGGAGAACAGGGCATTAGAAGAGCCTAGGGCCTACTTTAGCCCAGACATCAGCAAAGGCCTGCCTGAGACTAGAACACAATTCTCTTCGGGCCACCTCTTTTAGATGACAATCTCCCCTCCTAACTCACAAAAAAAGGGAAGCCATCTGTAGGAGAACATCCTCAAACATACAAGTTTACCAACTTCAAAACCTATCCTTTTCTCTGCTTCCTAAGACCAATTGTTTCACCTAAAATTTGGATCCTTCCTGTTGTGCCTTTCTAGGAATTTTACACCACTGTTGATCTATCTTCTCTTCTTCTTCTCCTTCTCAATAGGACCCACTATCTCCCAACTTGAAAAGAAAATATTTCTTGACCCCACACTCCTCCAGAGCCACTCACTAATGTATCTCTTCCCTCCCTGACACAGGCAAACTTCTTGAAAGAGTTATCTCTACTCACTGTTGCCACTTCCTCACCTCCCACTCACTCCTCAACCCTTTCCAAAACTGCTTCCACTCCCAGCATGACTCAGTCAGTAACAGCTCCTACCAAGGTCAACACAATCCCTATGTCATTCAGTTCAACCACACTTACAGTCCTCATCTTGGTTATCCTCTCAGCAGTATCTGACCCCATGCTCCCTCATCTAGTTTTCACCCATGGCTTCTACAGTCTGCAATTCCTGGTTTTCTTATTACACTTCTGGTTACTGTTTATTGGGTTCTTAGACTCCATTGCTGGCTCGTCTTCCTCTATCGGTCATTACATGCTGGAGTTTCTCACAGCTTATTCTTATGCCCCTTTTTCTTTCTCATCCTATGTTCAATATAGGTATTCATTCATGCCCACAGCTTCAAGGGCCATAGATAGATGACAGATAGATAGATATAATCGATGATTTCCAAATTTTCTTCTCCATTCTCATCTGAGCTTCAGACATAAACATTCAACTTTCTACTCAACATCTCCACTTGGGTGTCTAAAAAGGCTCTCAAACTAATATGTCCATTCATGTTTCTCACTCCCACCACTTAACTGGTCCTCTTTCAGGATCCTGGCTCATGGAATGATATGACCACTCATCCTGTCGTGTGAGCCATAAGTATGGGACCGTCCTTGACTCATCCTTCTCCCTCACTCCCTATATCCAACCCATCTCCAGGTATTGAAAATTTTCTCTCTGAGAAAATTTATGAATTGCATCTACTCTCCACATCCTCTATCATCAAATATCTACACCAAGTATGAAGACCTTAAAGGCAACATTCTTAACGTGACCTAAATGGTCCTGTTCAGTCTGGTCTCTGCCTTCCTCCGCACTACCTCCAGTTTCATCACTCTGCTCTCCAGCCTCAGTGGTCTTCTTTTAATTCCCCAAAGACATCATCCAATTCCCTTCTACAAGGTGTTTGCACATGATTTCCCTGCTGCCTGGGACCTCTTTCCCTACTCTCTCAGCCTGATTAACTCCTACTCATCCTTTACATCTTAGTTTAAATGGCATACTTTCAGAGAAGCCATCCTGGACCCATTCTCCCTATCCCTCAGACCAGTTTAGCTGTTGTTCTTGTGTGCACTCAAGGCACTACACAGCTTTTCTTAATGGTATTTATTACATTTGTAAATGTTATTTTTATTTGATTTCCCTCCTAGATTGTCAGTTTCATGAATAAGCCAGGAAAAACACTTGTTTTATTTTGCTCATGATTATGTCTTCATTACCTAACACAGTGCCTAGCATATACTAGGTGCTCAAATCATATCTGTTGAATGAACAAGTGATCAAATGCGTTTTTTTTGTTGTTTGTTTGTTTGTTTGTTTTGAGTTGAAGTCTCACTCTGTCGCCCAGACTGGAGTGCGTTTTTTAAAGGATCGCTCTGGATGCTGTGCTGAGCATAGTTAAGGGGAGGTAGGCAAGAGGATGCACTATTGGTGCAGTCAAACAAAAAAAACATGGTGGTCCAGATTAAGTTTGATAGCAATGGGGATGGAGTCAGTGAATGAAATTGAGAAATAGTTAGGTAGTGGATGGACAGAAGTTGGTAAAATTCGATGCAGAAGATAAGGGAGAGAGATTAATCTCAAATCTTGCCCAGGATTCCATCTTGGGCAACTAATAGAAAAGTAGCCATTTCTAAGATTTGAAAGAAGAACAGATTTGGACGTAAGGTAGACGGGGAACCAGAGAAGATAATTCAGGATGGAATCTATAGGTTTAGAATTCCTGTTGGTCTTCCAAAGGGATGTCAAGAGGACAGTTGAATATACGAGTCTGGATTTCAGGAAAGAAGTCTGGACAGGATACATACATTTGGGGATTATTAGCATATAGATGAAATTTCAAGCCTTGAGAGTAAATAAAATATCCAGGGAGAAAGGAAAGAATGAGAGATTACAGTTCAGGACAGAACCAAAAACCTCGCCAGCATCTACAGAGAGGAGAAGGAGGAAGAAAATGAGATTGAGAAGGGAGAGACAATGCCATAAGAGAGAAACCAGGAAAATGCTTCAAGGAGAGTGAACTGACATACACCACTGAATACTACTGAAAGATAAAGGGAATAATAGGAAAGTGTCCACTGGAGTTTGCCACACGGAGGTCTTGGGTGACCTTGGCCTGGACAGTCTCAGTGGATATCAGGGACAGAAGGCAGAGTGGGGTGGAGTTAAGAATGAATGGGAAGTAAGGAAATGAAGACAGCAAGTGTAGAAGAGGTTTGACTTTGAAGCGGGGAGAGAGCTGGACTATATAGCTGCAGGGGCTCAGAATGCAAGAGACACACAGATTCAAAACAGGTTGGGAATAACCTCTGAATTGGCAGTGGGAAAACAGCTCCTAATGAGTGCTCCTGCTCGTGCTAGGCCTCCAGGCTGAGCTGGGCACACAGACGTCCCAGGGCACACCCCTCGGTCGCTGAGGGCAACAGAATGCGGCTTGACAGATCCCGGGCCCGAGACCCCTGCTGGAATCCATGCGGCCTGCCTCCCTACCCCACCCACGTCCCCTTCCCGGCCCTTGA